TTTCGAAACCACTAGTCGCTCCGAAGGGGAAAGACGGACTTTTCACTCTAGTGCACAGTTAGTCTTGGGGCTGTTTCTACCTGATTCTGTAGGATTGCTGTGAGTTGTTGGCAGTTAAGGTGAGGTGGGTTTTGTTGTGTTTTAATTCTTATAAATATAGCAAGAACAGGAAGGGCCATAGAGACAGAAGGTAGATTCGTGGTTGGCAGAGGCTTTGGGAAGGGAAGAATGGGTCTGCTAAATAATGCCAAGTCTCTCTTTGGGAGAGATAAAGATATTCAGGAACTAGAGCATGATCGTGGTTCTGCATGCCACATAGTGCATGCCACTGAATTACCAATCTTCAGATGGCTGAAGTCGTAAACGTTGTGCTATGTGTATTTGACACACACACACAGATGTGGTAGGGGGCGGGATAAGCTATTGGAAATCATTGGATGGGTCCTGGATGGAGGTATCCATAAGGAGCTCTTAGAAGCCACGGTGTATGTGCCTCGTGTGATTCAGAGGATTAATCTCTAGGCTGCTCACTCTAAAGCCACCAGGCACTTTACAGAAAAAGAAGATGTTCAGGGTCCGAAATCCCTAAGGAGCAGTTCTACTCTGTCCTATATGATCATTATGAATCAGCTATGCCTTATTAGCAGTAGGTTTGTCTTGAGGGTACCTAACACTTTAATAGGCGCCCTGGTGGCATAGTGGTTACCAGTGGGGTGGCTAATGGCAAGGTCAGCTGGTCAAACCCACCAGTCACTCCTCTGGAGAAGCTGGAGCTTTTGCTCCTGTAAAGAGTTACAGTCTCAGAAACTTGCAGGCGCATTTCTACCCTGTCCTGTAGGGTCTGTGACTTGGCATCAATTGGACGGCCGTGAGGGAACACTTTGATTGACTTGTTTGTGACGCTCTCTCCAGTGGACACTGGTAGACAGAGCTTCTCATCCATTTATTCAATGAGTGTTCATATACCAGGCACCAGGGGGACTTTCCCATGGGACTAATCACACTTAAGTCTCAGAGCCCATCACTGGCACAGCGCTGCAAAAGGACTTGGTGGACATACTCTGCGTTTTGTCCTGGTAGCTCTGCATGATTTCCCATAAGAGGTTGCCCACCATGTATACATGGAACCGAACACTCACTGCCACTGAGTCAGTGCCAACTCACAGCGCCCTTGCCAGTGTCCGAGTCTCTAACTGTTTACAGGGGTCGAAAGCCCAGTCTTTCTTCTGCAGAGCTGCTGGCAGTTCCAAACTGCCAACCAGGCGGACCCCAACCCAAAGTGTCACCACGACACCACCAGGGCTCCTTATGCATGCCTTTAGGCCCCCCCAAAATCCGAATCAGACTTTGACCAGCCGAATTCCTAGCAGCTACCACAACCATCCACACACTGCCATAGAGCTGAGTCCGATTCATCGCCAGCCCCTGTAGGAGA